TCATCCTGAGCTCATCCTTCATCCTGAGCTCATCCTTCATCCTGAGCTCATCCTTCATCCTGAGCTCATCCTTCATCCTGAGCTCATCCTTCATCCTGAGCTCATCCTTCATCCTGAGCTCATCCTTCATCCTGAGCTCATCCTTCATCCTGAGCTCATCCTTCATCCTGAGCTCATCCTTCATCCTGAGCTCATCCTTCATCCTGAGCTCATCCTTCATCCTGAGCTCATCCTTCATCCTGAGCTCATCCTTCATCCTGAGCTCATCCTTCATCCTGAGCTCATCCTTCATCCTGAGCTCATCCTTCATCCTGAGCTCATCCTTCATCCTGAGCTCATCCTTCATCCTGAGCTCATCCTTCATCCTGAGCTCATCCTTCATCCTGAGCTCATCCTTCATCCTGAGCTCATCCTTCATCCTGAGCTCATCCTTCATCCTGAGCTCATCCTTCATCCTTCATCCTGAGCTCATCTCAGCTGGCTTTAGATTCCAGAGCAACAGAGGAAGAAGCAGCACACAGGTTGTCCAGCAGAGGGCGCCAGTTGTTCACTTGTTGTGATGTAAATCCTGTGATTGATCCAGATTTAAACCTGTGAATCAGAGGAAGTCTCTTCAAACATCAGATGTGAGTTTGTGACATGATTACTGCCATCATAGAGCTCAGATAAATTCATGTGTTGCTCACAGAAACAGAAATCTTTTAACAGCAGACAGCTGCAGGATGCTGACATGTCAGTGTGCAGCTGGCTGTTAAATGTAGAACATGAAGCATTAAGAGGGACTTCAGCCTGGTTCTGGTTCTGCTGAGAGGAACTCCAGGCTTCAAACATCTGCTCCCACACAGCTTCAGAACCTTTGAGTCCAACAGGTCTGACATGGTTCTCCTGCCTGCAGGGCTGCAGGACACCTGTGAYGTGTGGTCACACAACTTAATGTCATGATGAAATGACTTGTGATAAATGAACAAATAAAAACAATTATGTTGTGTTGACATTTTTCTGCTCTGGTTCAGAGCAAAACAACAATTAATGCATCGTTTGTATTCCAACACAACAGTTTTCTGTTATAAATCTACACACAGCTGCTGTCTGAGCAGTGAAACAACAAAGTTTAAAACATTGTGATCATAAAATCCAGTATGTTGTCATGTTACTGCCTCTTATTGTCAGTTTTATTGGAAATAATTTTCCAAAGAGCTGCACCTGATTGGTCAAACATTTCAAGCTTCCATGTGATTGACAAACCGTGACCTGTGAGCCAATCACTGCTGTGTCTGCAGCTTTTAGTCATCTGCCTGTTGTGATGACAGTAAATTAGTATATATTGTGTTGTGTTGTGTTGTGTTGTGTTGCTTAGACTGTCAGGTTGAGACAAATGTTTCTGAGGGTTTAACAGTTTGAGTTGGAAGCTTTAACTTTTATTATTGTTTAGTTTCTTGCCTGGTTTTAATCCAGGATTAAATGTTTTTCCTTCAGTCTGTGGTGAGGAGCCTGTTTTAAACCAGTGGCATACTGGGACTGTTTCTCAGCTGGGAACACCTTGGGATTCCCCCTGAGGAGCTGGTGTGTATCAAACATGTTGATGATAAATGAAGRGGAACTGTTTTAGGACCTGGTCCAAGTGGCTGGAGAGAGTCTGGGTCTCTGCTCAGGCTGCTGGCCCCGAGACCTGGACATAAGGAAGAGGATGGATGGATGGATGGATAAATGGATGGATGGATGGATGGATGGATAGATGGATGGATAAATGGATGGATGGATGGATGGATAAATGGATAAATGGATGGATAAATGGATAAATGGATGGATGGATGGATTAATGGATGGATGGATAAATGGATGGATGGATAAATGGATGGATGGATAAATGGATGGATGGATAAATGGATGGATGGATGGATTAATGGATGGATGGATAAATGG